ACGTCTTTGATGTGGAGCCTTTATTTGGATGGTGCCAGTCATATTGTTTTACAAAACCTGTTAGTTACCATTGTCAAGAAAATGCCTGCAATTCCTTGAAAATTATTATGTTAAGATGTTAATATTTAGGCTTTTATTGTGGTAAAAACGAAAAGTAAATTTACTGTTCAAAGTATAGGAAAGACAAGGGAATCTCCATGATAGTTTGGTGGGGCAGGGTACATTTTGTGATAGACCACACTGATCGGTGATGGTAAGAGCTTAGCAGAAAATTCATCGTGGTAATTATAAGTGCCAATGTTAAAGAAGAAGTGTGGGAAACTGAAAAAGTACACGTACATATCCACCTTTATGGATTCAGCATGTACCCTGCCGGGTCTGAGAACTAAGCTATCACATCACCACTGATTGCTCAGTTCTCACTGGAGTGCCAGGCTGTCTAGAGGATGAGAGTGGCTGAATCAGGATCCTTCCAGAGCCTTGGGACTGGGTCTGTGACGCCTGCTGTTGGCTGAATCCAGGTCACAGGATTGCATTAATAAGTGCACTCCTGTGATGTAGGAGAGAAGTCTAGCCAAAAAAGCTTTGGCCATCCTTCACTTTTAAAGCCATCAATGATAATTTGTGAAAGAGAAAATTGTAAACCGCAGCTCCAACTATAGATTACAAGAACTACACTTCATCTGAGCACCAAAAACGCTATTTAATTCATTTTTAATATTCAAAACAAACTCACCCATCCATCTATGTCTCAATGCTTTAATCATCCCCCTAGCATTTCTGGCTATGGCCATCTTGAGTAGGGGCAAATGATTCATGTAGTATTTACTTCCTGGAATCCAGCTGCCCTTAGCTCAGGCATGTAGGCAGAAGGATGTGCCTAGCTGAGAAACCCCTCCTCCCTTCGTGAAGACTCCTGGGATGTATGACATCATTTGCCTAGGCATGGAAACCAGAAAGTAAGTGAAGAAATGCAAACAAAAAGTTTATAGCAAGTAAACATGATGTACTTTCTTATCTGTTTACTAATGCTAGCAGCATAAGGTTTAAAAATAGTCAATGTTGATTGAACGAGTGAAATTCAACTTTGGTTCCGTGCCATGCACTAGCTTTCGCGTGTCCTTTAGCATGTAAACTGAGGTCCATATGTTAGAGTATTGTTTTATAGACTTTTGGGGGGATTCTTCTCCTTAAAAAACACACAGGGTCTGGTATATGATGTAGTCTTAAGTGAGATAAAACAGAGCTTTGATCTTAAGGCACTATGAACGTGAGACTAATGCACATTAAAACACCTCTGAATAACCTTAGTGTAAGGTTCACCTTCACCAACAATGAAATAAAAATGTGTCCTGTGATCTGAAAATATTTTCAACCTCTAACTTGTGGCTAGCATTGCTTCTAAGCTATATTGCTTGCAGCAGCCTCTTGCTGAATCCTTGCAAACTGCATGGCTGATGATTCTCTGCATTATCCTCTGTTGTCCGATATGCATGAAGCCAACCGATGCATTTTTAATAAAATGTATAGCAGTATTACATTTTTCTTCAGTGATGGATTCTGCCTTTATGATGGCTCACTTTCCAATAAGCTGCACCCATGAATATTCAAGTTTGGGCCCCTGCCCTGCTGATTTGGTTTATAAATGTGCGGGTTCTGAGGCTGTCATTTCTGACTCTGGAATAATACAAAGATTATTATGCAAAGATTTTAGGACCCATGAATTAGAGTACTTATTTTAGCTGTATGCTTCATTCTAGAATTATGTCTTTAGTATTTCTTTTTCATTAAAACCTAACTGCAGTCAGTTTTTGCTTTAGTTTTTATTAAAATGGGATAGGGGGAGAGTGTATTGTTGAAAGCTGTAATGCATGCTCACTCTACTAAAAAACATATTTCTGTTTTTGTCTATGTCCCTATTAGAAAGATGTCCTTTAATTTCCTGTCCTGACAGGAAGGAATGGGAAATCAGCCCAATGGTGATACAAACCGCAATAAAAACTTGACAGTGCTTTTAACTCTCCCCTGTTCCAACCAAAACAAAATAAAAAGATTTTAGCTGGATTTTGCCTTTCAATGATATGAAACATGTCTCAATTTGTTTAGTTGGTTTATGTTAAATATATATAATATCTGTAATTTTTTTATTGCATGGACAACAGAAAAAGAAGCACTAGAGAGAAAAAAACGTGACCCAACGGAAGAAACAGTTGAGACCTATGAACAAGCTTTTCAGCAGATACAGTCTATAACAGGGGAAGACAACCTAGACATACTGGTTAACAGGTTTATTGAAGGTGAGTCGATTGGCATTTCCTTATATATGTTGTGCTGCTTAACCATTATGTTTGAATTATCTGCAGTCCCACATAGTTATCTGTTTCAAAATGCAATTATAAGTCATTTTGTCAAAATAATTTGATGTTACAGTGGTAGATAGTATAATTCAAAATCACTAGCTCTCATAAAACCTACATAAAAATGATTTACTGAATATATATTACCACCATTACTTAAGAGTATGGTTTTAATAGCCTATTAAGGTTTCATATTGTGGACTAAAATCAAAAGGCTAACTATCGCAGAGAACATCATAAGCCATGCATTTAACCAACAACCAGCTCACTCAAAAATTATTTACAGTTTTACAGTTTTATATTGAGTGGAAAGTAGCGAAGATCCACATAAATAGTTCACATAATAGTTGCTTACACAGCTATGCTGGAAAGATTTTAAGGTTTATCTCACTGCTTATGCTGCCAGACCTGTCAGACTGATGGAAGATTCTTCATTGTAATCAATGGTGTTGACAATTCTGATAATAAAGGCAGTGCAAGAAGTCAGGAAAATAGATAAGTAGAAGAACTTCACAGCAGTAGATCTTGACAAGAGCTCCAAAATTACATATAACCTCACAGACCTGTTACCATAATCAAATTCAGCTCAAAACTATCTGGATAGGTTTAGGGTTGTGTTCATTGAAAGATACCTTGTCTCCAGACCGGGCTTTTTTTGTTTTGAAGCTCTGTAAAAGATAAACTTTAATATTACTTGAATGGTAACTTATTTTTCTATAAACCATTTGGTACTTTCTAAAGTTACATGCCATATATTTTTCGTCAGAATTAGACAATGTCATAATTGCTGCTTTTCCTCCCTCCTCACTCTCATCACTTCTTGAATGTATTCTGGCCTTTATATTTGGCTCCCAACACTGCCTTATCACTCATGTCCTATATCTTCCTGAGGATGACACAGAGCAGAGCCGGCAGCACAGGTAACTCTTCATTTACTAGAAATCCCAGCATATTTGCACTTGATGCTGGCTCTCCCTGCCATCAGCTTCTGTCAGAGGAGAGCAGACACAGCAGAGTTTCAGATTTCTTCAACATTTCTAAGCCAAGTACCAACATCTTTGTTACTGCTCCTGGCTCTCCTCTGTGCGGCTATTCCCTGTCGTTCTGAGGATGATATATGACATGGATAATAAGGCAGTTTGGGGAACCCAGTACAAACACCAGAACATAGGCCCCCATAGATGTCTTGAAATTTCAGCTGATTCCTGCTGATTCTGGCATGGGTGTCCCTGCAAACACTAGCAGGCTCAAAAAAATTTTTGATTTAAAAATTGATTGAGCCAGTTGGAAAATTATTGGACAAGCAGTGACTGCCTCCTATCAGATTGGTTAGCGTCGATGAGGGGAATTTATAGATTCTCTCTTGTGATCTGAGCTGTCAAAATGCAAGCTGTCTAGAAGGCTCTTATGTTGTAGAATCAGGAAGAATGGGGAGGGAAGAGCAGTAGTAAACTGTGGCAGGCAAATGTTGGAATTCAGCAGTATCTAATTCTTGTGAAACCTATTGTGCTTTTAACTTAGAAACACAAAATGTTTTATTTATTGGGACCTTTCCCCATGCAGGAGTGTCCCTAGTCTAAATTTAGTGCTGCTGGGTTGTAGTCAACCTCACTTCTAATTGATATTTCCGTTTCTGTGAGTTTCCCCTAAGTTTTGGGGGATTGTTTGCTTCTGCTCGCTGTTGGGCAGTGTCCCTGGCAATGATGTGCTTGGATAGAAATTACAAATATTTATGAGGTTTATGGCCAGTGATGCAGGCTAGGAGAAGAATAGAAATATTTGGGGAACCTTCCAGAATCTCTCTTACCTCCCAAGTTTTTCCTAGGGAGTGTGTGTTGCTGTATGTACCTATGCCCCCCAGGCCTGATGTCTGAGGAGAGTGTGCTGAGCTAAGGAGAGGCCTGAGTCTACGGGCCTGAAAGATTTATACACTCCCTTGCTGGATGGTGCATCCAGGAGTTGTGAAGCAGAAGAATTGCTGTCAGCTAGGAGAACCCAGAAGGGGAAATTCACTGCTGAGGTTGTACTGGAGAGCTGGGGTTAAAGCTGCTGCCAGAGGACTTTGCAAGAAGTCAGTGCTTCTCATTTTTAGTATCTTTGTTGTTTAGTGTTACAAGTACTACAGAATTGCTGGTTTCGGCTTAAATGCTCATTACCTCTGATCTGACTGGAGTCATTTCTTGTTTTTTTTTTTAAGTATATATCCTGTGCCTTAACCCTCTCTCCCTTAACCACTTGCCCTGCTGAGAATTTACCCCCCTTCCTGACCAGGCCATTTTTTGCGTTGCGGCGTTGCTTTACTTTAACTGATGATTGCGCGGTCATGCAACGCTGCACTCAAATGAAATGTCCGTCCTTTTTTTCCCACGAATTGAGCTTTCTTTTGGTGGTATTTGATCGCCTGTGTGTTTTTTTATTTTTTTGCACTGACAATTTTGAGAAAAAAACAATACTTTTGACTTTTTGATATTAGACATGTCCAGTAAAAAAAATGTAAAAATCAAATTTCGTCATAAATTTAGGCCAAAATGTATTCTGCTACATGTCTTTGCTAAAAAAAAAAATCCCAATACGTGTAAATTAATTGGTTTACGTGAAAGTTATAGCATTACAAATGGCGATATAGACACTGGAATTTTTAATTTATTTTTTACTAGTAATGGTGGCTATCAGCGACTTATAGCGGGACTGCGATGGACATTTTGACACTGGGAGGAACTGACTTGGTGTAACTAACATCCCCAGTGACACCAATACAGTGATCAGTGCTAAAAAAAAAAGCACTGACACTATACTAACGGCACTGGGCAGGAAGGGGGTTAACATGAGGGGCGATCAAAGAGTTAACTGTGTGCAGGGAGTGTTTTACTAGGGGGCCATGTCAGTGTGCTTCACTGTAAGCACACTGCTTTGAATGGCTGTGCTGTGCCCAGCCATCCAAATCAGTGTGTCCGAGCTGACAGGGAGAAGGACTGTTAGTAAACAAAACAGTCCTCCTCCCTGTCGGAGATGCTCGGCAATCACTGTGCGCCGGCGGGTAATCACCGGGAGCTGGTGATTGACAGCCATGGCTCACGCACGACTTTTACCTGGAAATGCAAAATCACATATATACGTGATTGTGCACACCCCTGCCGCCCTGTAGCAGTATATCTGCTATAGAGCTGCAGGAAAGCTGTTAAAGTATGTGTAAATAAAAACCATTATCTGTAAAATCCATTAGACAAACATTGACAGTGTGGAAGTCAGTTAACAGGTTGTTTTATATATATATCAGCATAAATGAGTACACCCCAATAGATTTGTCAGAAAACCTTTAGTTTCCTTTCAACATTTTCTATGGGACAGTATATTACAAAATACTCCCACAAATGCAGGCCATTGATTGCAAACAAGATTTGTTATTTGCTCACACAAAAAGTATTTTTCCTAACAAACTCATTCAAGACCATGCTGCAAAAATGAATACACCCAAGTGAAAGTCTTAGAAGCAAAGCTAAATTTTAGAGAACAAAATCCTAATTAACAAAAATTCTAATTATTTATTAAACAGGTGTCAGCAGACAGTTGATTATAAAAGGGTGTTACTTAACAAAGAAAACCCTTTCCCATTTCATGTTGTCAGCAATGGTACCACATGGAAGAGAAATGTCACAAGGCCTGAGAAAGAAAATAATTTCTTTACACAAGAAAGGTGAAGGCTGCAAGAAGTTCAGCAAAGCTTTACTTAGTCAGAATAATGTAGCAAAAGTGATACAAAAATGTAACAAAGATGGAACTGCAATCTTCTCACAGAGACATCGAGGCCGTCCGTGGAAGTTATCACCTCCACAGGAGCATCTTCTGATGAGAAGGGTTGCAGAAATAGACCATGCAAGTTTCACAGCAGTTAGCTAAAGAAGTAGAAAGCCAAACTGGGGTGTTTCTTTCCCGTGGACACAATAGGGCGTACACTGCAGAGGAATGACATGCATGGGTGTCGTCCACAAAGGAAACCAGTTCCTAAAGCTCATTCACAAAAAAACCCACCTAGAATTTGCCAGGGCCCATGCTGAAAAAGAAGACTACTGGGACTCTGTACTTTGTAGGGATGCGACCAAGATTAATGTTTTTTGGAAGTGGAGTCTTCAAAACTGTGTGGTGTTGCAAAGGTGAGGAGTACAAAGAAAAATGCATGGTACCTACAGTGAAACATGGTGATGGCAGTGTCCTTCTGTGGGGCTGCATGTCAGGGATCTTCCTCGATCCCTACCGCGATGGTCCCGGCGCAGGCGCAGTGCACCGCCCTGTGCAGGGACACGGGCACTAGGTCCGGGCCGGCCGCGGCGTTCGAGTTCGCGCATGCGCAGTAGAAGCCGCGGCGCCCGCTGGGCACCAATGGCAGCGCAGGGCGGGATATTTAAATGGCCCTGAGCTGTCATTCAGTGCCTTCTGGTCTTCCCTGCATCCTGTGAACCTGTGATCCTGTACCCCTTGTAAGTTTTGACACGGATTGAACCTGACCTTGCTGCTTTCTCCTGCTCTGTACCTTGCTTTGCCTGACCTCTCTCCTGGATGCCCCCTATTGTATTTGACCTGCTGTTGCTGACCTGGCGTGTGACCCGACCATTCTATGCCCGCTGCTTTGTACCTTGCCGTCCTCTCTGTTACCTACCCGCCCCCGTCTGACCTTGCTCATCCATCCATCCATCCCTTGCAGTGGGGTCTTCCGACCTCCTCACATCAGACTCTTCCCCGTGGGAGCCCCTTGCGCATACTACTACCACTGACGGGCGCACCGGTAGTCACGACCTGGTCTCAGGGAGCTCCAAGTCCATCCCCGACCATCAGGGGCCCTGGTGAACAAGCACCCTGGGACTTAGATTCCGTGCGCTGGGAACGCCTATTCAGTGGAGTGCTAGTAGTACCGCCGGGCGGTCCCTTTACAGTACCAGAAGGCATGACTGAGTCTAGAGGAGGCCCCTCGCCGCTTGAGGAGATCTGCAGGCACCTGTCTAATTTGACACAGGCCGTATCGGCCCTGCAGGATAGATGTCAGCAGATTGAAACCAAATTCCAGACCTGCACTATATCCGTTCCCGTCCCACAGGCCGCGGTCCCCGCACCTCCAGCCGTAGCAGCCCCTGTGCTGGTGTCTGGGGGCATCCGCACCACTCCGGCGGCGGCCGACCCCCGAGTACCCTTACCGGAACGTTTCACGGGGACCGCACACGCTTCAGATCATTCCGCGAGTCCTGCCTCCTCTATTTTTTGAGCTACAACCCCGAAACCTTCGTGACTGAATCCGTGAAGGTGGGGTTCGTCATCTCCCTCCTGCAGGGTGAACCCCAAGACACTGGGCCCATCGATTACGGGGAAAAAAAATGACCCTCACCTCAGTTCGTGTTGTCAGTTTTTTTGATGCAATGACCATCCTTTATGATGACCCGCAGCGGGCAGCTTCTGCTGAAGCTACTCTGTACACGCTCCGGCAAGGCCGCCGAGCGGCGGAGGAGTACGCATCTGAGTTTAGGCGGGTGGATAGGGGATACTCTCTGGAACGAGTTCGCACTCCTGCATCAGTTCCGTATATGGCCTATCAGAAGGCCTGAAAGATGAGCTCGCCCGGGTGGAGGTACCTGAGACTTTAGAGGACTTAAATAGCCACTGACCATTAAAATTGACCGTTAGACGGTTAGACTGCGGGAAACGCAGGTTTGAGAGGTCGGCCAGGGTCAGGGAAACCCCTGGGGATCATTTCAAGGTCCCAGTCAAACACCTAGGCCAATCATCCAAAACCGGCCACCTGGAGATAACCCCGAACCCATGCAACTCGGCCTGCACGGCGCTAAACTATCCCCAGAGGAACATCTGCGCAGACGATCCCAGAAACCTGTGCCTCTATTGTGGCGAAAGCTGGTCATTATGGCACGTTCCTGCCCGCAGAAACTGAGTAAGTGCACCTCTTCTTCCTTATCCATTGGCAATGTTGGTCCATCCCAATACTTAGTGGTACCCCTTTCCTTTCAGCTTCCAGAAAGACCGTGGAAGTATCGGCCATAATTGACTCTGGGGCATGCAGCTGCTTCTTGGATATTAATTTTGCTCACCAGCAGGGTATTCCTCTCTATTGAAACAGAAGGGTTCAATATTTATTTGGCCGACGGTTCCCGAATAAAATCGGGGGTAGTGAACCAGGAAACCCCCTCCATCACCACTATCATTGCCGGCCAGCACCAGGAACCTCCTCCGCCTGGATGCTATAGCTTCACCCCTCTTCCCAGTCATTCTGGGGCTCCCATGGTTACGGGCCCATAACCCCCAGATCGACTGGGAGACCGGAGTAATCACGTTCCCTTCCCCATACTGTCGGTATACTGCCGCACTTCGGGCCCGGTGGGCCCCCCAAATCCTCTGTGCTCTGAGGGGGAAGCTGAATTAAAACAAGTAATCCCTGCAGTCTACCATGGGTTTCTAGATGTGTTCAGCAAACGGGGAAGCCGATACTCTACCCCCCCCACGCCCTTATGACTGTCACCATTGACCTGGTTACCCGGCTCAGAAATTCCTTTTGGGCGAATCTTCCCCCTTTCAGAGCCCGAATTGGGGGCCCTAAAGGAATATATCGAGGATAGCCTCCAGAAGGGGTTCATCCGCCACTCCACTTCACCGGCGGGGGGGCGGGAATCTTCTTTTGTTGAAAAGAAAGACAAAACCTTAAGGCCGTGTATCGATTACAGGGAATTGAACAGGGTCACGATAAAAAACCGTTACCCACTACCGTTAGTACAGAGCTGTTCCAAAGTTTAAAGTCAGCAGTGGTTTTTTAACCAAGCCTGGATCTGAGGGGGGGCTTACAACTTGATTCGCATAAGGGAGGGGGACGAGTGGAAGACGGCCTTCCGCACCAGCTTCGGATCATTTTGAATATCTGGTCATGCCGTTCGGGTTGTGCAATGCTCCGGCCACTTTTCAACACTTTGTGAATGATATTTTTAGGGACTTTCTGGATGTCTTTGTGATCGTTTATTTAGACGACATTCTGATTTTCTCCCCATCTTTGGGGGAACACAGAATACATGTAGCAAAAGTATTGGGGGCGGTTGCGGCAGCATGGGTTGTACGCCAAGGCAGAGAAATGTTGTTTTGAACAATCCAGCATTGCCTTCTTGGGCCTGATTATCTCCACCGCGGGGGTCGCGATGGATCACCCAGAAGGTCGCTGCAATTTACTGGATTGGCCTGAACCCACAGACAGGAAAGGCGTCCAACGAATTCATCGGCTTTGCAAAATTTTTACCGGAAGTTCATCAAGAACTTCTCGGGTCTGGTCTCCCCCATTACTCAGCTAACCAAGCTGGGGAACCCGATTTCAGATGGACACCAAAGCGCAGGGATTCCCTATTTCGAAGCCTTGAAGAAGCTGTTCACGTTCGGCAACCATTTTGGGTCACCCAGACGCCGCCCTGCCCTATATCTTGGAGTGTGATGCATCGGAGGGAATGCGGTAGGCTCCATTCTCCTCTCCCAACGAAAGGCACCAAGGAACTGCTCCACCCTGTAGCGTTCTTTCTCACGGAAGCTTACCCAGCAGAGAGGAACTATGATATCGGTGATCGAGAGCTATTAGCGATTCAAAATGGCGTTAGAGGAAATGGAGTGCTGGTACCTGCTGGAAGGTGCGGTGCACCCCATCTTAATATTTATGACCAGACAAAGCACTAACCGGATGCGAAAAAAGGATTTTAAGACCCGGGGAACCCATCCCGACCCTCCCTTCTGGCTTTTGGTCTTCCGGAAATTTTTTCCCCCAATCTCCCAAACCCGCCCCCGGGAAAAGGGGCCCCCCAAAAAGGGGGGATCTTGGGGGAAGATGAATTTTGGGGCCGGGGAAGCCCCCAAACCCGGCTTTGGGGGGGTTTCCAGAAAACCCGATTTCGGGGCATTTGGCCCCGAAAAGGTTAATTTAGCCCCATTTTGGGGGCCGGCAGGGAAAGGAAATTTTGGGCATTTGGGGCCTGGCCACCCCCGAAGAACAGCCCAAGAAACAAGGTTTGGGGGCGTCGCACCCTTACCACCGAACCCCTTTGGGAAAAAACCTTCAAGTGGCCCCCTTTTCCCAAAAAA